CCGACGGCTTCAGGCGCCAGTACGGGCTGTGCCTCTGCTGCCCTGTTTTGTGGGGAGCGGGCTGGTCCCTCGGCTGCCCTGGCCTCGGGGGTCTGTATTTTCCCACAAGGCAGCTTTTGCAGCTCGCGGCCTAGGTGGTCGCAGCCCTCCTGTCTGCTTGTATCCTTCCAGTTACCCCACCGGGCTGACTGCCCGCCCGCCCCTGCTGTGCTGGGCTTCAGTGGGTGAAAGATACAACAGTTTTTTTGGGACAATGAAGGGAAAAAAAACAGGCCAGGAGTGACGGGAGGGGCAAAGGGTTAAAAACGTGAAAGTGAGTGCACCTGAAGGGGACGCCAAGCAGAGCCCCCCGGACTGCACCCACCAGGGCTCGAAGGCGTCCAAGGAGCTGGTGGACACTGCCCACTGGTGCTGTGTCTGGAAATGTGCTCTGACGTGGAAGAGGAAAGCGGCCCCGCAGTCTCGGGGCACCTTCCCGGCCAGAGCCTCCTTCCTGGTCAGGTACAGGGCCCACTTGGCCAGGGCCAGGAGGAGGTTGACCAGGACTTGGTGGGGCCATGGATGGGATGACCAAAAACAAGAAGGTGGGGTGTGAAATTCAACCAGATTTTCACCCCCCATCTGGAGGTGGAGGGGCTGTCACAACCCTCTGGAAAGGCTGGAGGCGGTGGCCAAACCCAACCCCCCTTCACTGCCCGAGGCTGCAGCATTGCCATGATACCATCTATTGCGCTTTAGTGTTTGCTTTGTGCTATGGTTAATAAGCAGTCAGGCCAGCCATAAGTTAAGTCAAATAATGATTGTGGCTGCATATCGTGAAGTGGGATGGGTTGCAGGGTAGAAGATCATATAGAAAATGAGCAATTACCACATTGTGTTCAAGGTTACAGCTCCACAAACAGCAACACCAGAAGAATCGTAGCTGTTTAATAGTGCTCTTCATCCGTGTGTTCCCAAGACCCTTCAAAGGTCATTATGCTTGTTTTTTGAGGTAGGGAATCACGTGTTCACCCAGGGTCACCAGTCAGTGGCAGAATAAGAGGCAAATCCAAATCCCAGGGCCTAGGTGTTGTACCATGTTTGGTCTGCTTGGTAATTGAGAGAAATAAACAATGCAAGGGATTACATACCCAGGGATCAAAATATTTAGGGAAAAAGGGGTTGTTGTTTGTTTTAAATTCCTCATTTGTTTGCCAGTACTGTTTTGACTGTTTACCACCCCATGTTTTAGCTGTCCAACGTTTGCTTGATGAAAACCTTTTCCTGCAACCCTTGACGATGTGAGAAGTCTGTTTCAATACAGGTGGTTGCCATATCTTCAGTAAAGCTGTTAGCATAAGCATTACAGGACAGGCCTCACGTCCAATAATTTCCCATGTTAGACGTGTTTAAATTGAGGCCTTTTTCATCAGAATGTCCTCTCTTCTTCCCAGACGTGCCTTCAGGCAACAATCACAGTAGGGATCAACAGACAGCTACCAGCCAGTGTACATTTCCTGTCATTCCTGGAAAGCAATACGGATTCCATTTGTTACTCACATGTTACTAGTTTAACAGTCTGGGCCAGTTACTTGAGATCAGGGTTGGGAAGATAAGTCTGTAGCTCAGGGTGATTCTTGCTTTCTCCTGCCTCCCCATCGCTGTCTCTACCCTCTAGGGACCACTGTGCTCTCCAACTTATTTAAAGAATTCAAACTGCATTTATACTCCAAACACACAAGGGGGAGCTACCCACTAAAAAATTTAGCAGCCACTTAATTAGCTCTGCCTCTAAAGGGTAAAGATATCTTTTGCCATTAAAATCACTGTCCCCCTTCTTCAAGTAAAATATTTCCCTGTACCTCAAGTTTCAGGGGTATTGTTTATAGCCTTGTTGAGCTAAAGATATAGGCAGGTTTTTTGGGTAAATGTGATCTCTTTCATTAGACCAACTAAATAGTTGGAAAAATTGTTCTTTACAACCTTTCAGACACAAACACTGTTCTTCAGACATGGGGAGAGTGCGCTGGGCTTTGTGTACTCTCTTGGGTGGAATAGAAGCTTAAGCTAATATGCAAAATGAAGGTCTGTGAAAATGCAAATATGTGTGGCAGGGAAAATCAGAAGGAATGGGAGTTAATGGGTGCAAGACAGGTTGGGAGGGGTGGGGAAGACACAAAAGGGGAATGTTGACAGGTGGTAAAATGTAGCTGGTAAAATGTAGAGAAGTTACTTCAGGTAGAAGCAAGGTCCTTTTGATTATATTTTGTTCAACATTTCCAGCTGTACAATTGGTCCAATCAAAAATATTACCCAAAAACTTTGCATCTTGAATATTTTTAGGTGTATTATATTATAGGGGCATTTACCTAGTAAAGTTGGCACTGGAATGAGTTCAGTCCAGCAAACTTAACCCTTGACTTAACTTTTCCATAAACTCTTGGAGGTAAGCACTGCCTTGGAGGCCCAGCACCTCTGTTGCACTTGAAAGATGCTGCTGTAATGTAAATGAGAGAGTAAGTAAGTGTGTTGAAGCAGATCCCAGTCCTGTCAGTGCACTTTGGCTTTACTGGCACAAGAATAACCTCCCCATTGCTTCCTGCAGGAGGTAGAGCCTGGGCTATACAAGGGCAAATTGCACCATTGACTTGTTTCTGGCAGTCTCTGAGATTTCTGGGATGAAGGTCTTGTGAGAGCTGGCTGTTTGGCTTTAACCATCTTGCTTGACTCTCCCTTGTTTCAGGACAGTCCTTGCTTAGGGTTATGCCTGCTTCTCCCCCAGCCTCTTCCTCAGTGACTCCTTGTCTCTGACATGCATCTTTTGCCCACCAGTTCCTCACATAGGTGCTCTCTTCTCTTCTCACACCTCAGCCCCACCTCTTGGCATGAAGAGAGTCCAGTCTTCTGTAGACCCATATATCTTTGGTGCCTGTGCTGAGGCTGATCAATGCAAGACAAATGAACAACACTGGGGACACTTTTTTGTTTTTGTTGGGGAGCAGGGGCAGGGAGACCCTCATCCCATTGAGAACTGAATGGAGACCCGTATCTCTTCCCCTCCTCCTGACTTCTTAGACAGCCATCAGTTAAGTCACTGCATGATTGATAGCACAACTGAGCTGGGGAGGACTCTGTGCCCAGGAGTCAGTGTCTCAGTACCCTGTTTCCTGAGCCAGACAGTCATTTGTTCCAAATCCTTCCAACACAAATAAATACAACATGCATATGAGTGAAACTTCCTTCTAGGGCCAAAATCATAATGTTTCTTGCAGATGGGGTGTGTATTTCTGCTTGTCAAGCCTGAAATGAAAACAGGAAAGTTCTCCTGATGGCTCCCTTTGGGAGCGATGTTTGAGAAGACTGAGAACGCTTAAGGCCAAGGAGGGCAGTGGGCAGAGGGATGTTGTATTTGTTTGTCTGGATTTATACCACAGGAGCAAGGGCTCTCCAGGTACCCCTGTCACAGGTTACAACAATAGCAAATAAGGTGGACAAATAAAGCTAGAGAGTAATCCTACTCCTGAGCCAGATTCTGCGTTCTCCTTCCCCTACACAACCCTCACCCCCATCATTCTTCTCCTCTGCAAGAGGTGCAGTTAATTAGCAGGGGACAATTAAATAAAGAAGCTCATTCCTTTTCTTTCCCAGCAGTTTGCCTGGGTTTCTTCTTTGCTTTTTCTTTTCCCCCCAAGCTTACATTCTATTAAGTACAGGTTTAATTTCACCCCCATACCTCTAAAGCACTTCCAACAATCATGCACAATGTACAGGCCTCTGTGAGGAAGGCATTGACCCTCCACCATCCTCATGTATGGTGTGCCTGTCCCTATCAGCTATTAGATGCAGCCACATACCTTTTGGAATAGCTGTGAGCCTTACTGGCTCTTATAGATGTGCAGGCAAGCTGGAGTCTCTGTGTTTTTTCCAGACTCATCTTTGGGGGCTGGAAGGGATGTATAGCTGTGGAGGTTGGCAGAGGGTCTTACAAAAAAACAGTCTATTGACCAGCAAAGCTAAATTATGCCTGCTACTCTTCTGTTGCCACCCCCACCCCCTCCTTTCCTTGGGGGTGGGAAGAGCTGGTGGGAGGGATTTCTGACTGTCAGCAAGAAAGAAACAAGAGAGCATGTGAATCAAAGGAACTAGACCTGAGCAAGGCAAGGGGAAAGTTTTGTAAGGCTGCTGAAATGCAGGGGAGAGAAGAGCTGCTCCTTTAGGTGCCTGTGTTGAGAGCGGGAGAGGCTTCTGCTAGGAGCAAGGTGGGAGCCTGGCTTAAGGTGTGTGCAGAGAGTTAAATGAAAACAGCCTGTGGCTGGGGAATCTAGTGCATCCTTAGAGAGGTGGACTTCTGTGTGCAAAGAGGAGCTCCCTTCCCTTTCTGTGTGCTGGATTATCTATTGCTTTCTGAAGTGCTTGAGGACTCCAAACTGAGCAAGTCCACATAGGGCTTCCCTGTTGGACAGAACCCAGATCCTGTTAAGCCATCAGCAGTGTGGGTCCTGTCAAGGCGCAAATGCCAGAAGAAGTCTCCTCAGCATTTTTCAATGCTAACGAGCACAGCTAAGGAGCCAGGCTTGGTTCCTAGGAAAGCTTTGTGACAGCCTGTGTTCCAGTCACTTCCCCTGGACTCCAGGGACAAGAGAAACTTGCCTCAGCTGAACCTGTATGGGAGGAAATGTCCAAGAGTGATACATCTATTTCTCGTGTGAGCCCCAGCAAGTCTCCAGCAGCATTGCTCATTGTAAGAAACAGAGAAACTGGCAACATCAGGAAATAGCAATGAGCATTTTTCTTTGAGGAACTGGAACTTGCCAGCCTGTCACTGGGGAAGGCTGTAACATTTTCTAGGCACCCTTCAGATCTGCCTTGCAAAGGAAAAGGGTGATAGCAGCAAGAATGGAGCTACACATGTTGGCACAGTTGTTTGTTTTCACTCTGCAAGCATCTTTGCTCACCTATGGGAACAAACTGCAGCCCCTGGTGTAAGTATTGAGTGAGGAGAAGATCCTGGTGTGGGCAGGTCAGGTTGGGAGGAACTTCATAAAGGAGAGACTGTGCTATGCAATGCAAACTAATCTGAATTTTTTTTGCCCCTTTCTAGTAAAAAATATGCAGAGAACAAAGGGGTGAACTGAAGTTTAAAATGTTTGGATTGTTCCCACCACTTGCAAGAAGTGATTGGCTGTTTTTAATTGAGATGTAGCTATTGTATAAACATGAGTTATAATTATGCAGGCTGAGGTGTGTTTTCCTAGCAATACCCTTTTTCATTATCCTCTCCTTTCTCTTTCTTACTGAATTCTTCTGTGTACTTCTGGTTTTTTTCCTTTTTGGTATTAATCCAGATGCTCTTAGCCCTGTATTTTTTTAATACAATGCTATCACTTCAGTTTGGCATGAACTTTGTGGATCCCTTGGAAAACTTCCTCTGGAATTTGGGATATTGCCAGGAGAAGATCTCTTGCCAAGCAGCCTGAACTCTCTTTTTTATTTATTTATTTATTTTTGTAAGTGAAACCAGCATTATGCAATGAGCTAAACCCAAACCATCTTTCCTTTACATTACTAACTCTGCTAGGCAGGATCAGGGCCACTCCTAGTCATTGGATGTGTTCTGAAAGACTTGTGCAAAGGCATTTGTTTTGTGTATGTAAAAGACTTCATGTTTATCTCCCTAGGAGTTGCGGGTCAGGATTGCTGGTTGAGATAGGAGAGATGAGATGTGTGTACTCTAGAAAAGAAAATGCCAGGGACTGGGAAACACTGAATCTAATTTAGAAGTGTAATTCCCCAGAGGGCACTTCTGACAATACCCTTTAGACACAAAGCCACTGTTTGGTGCACACAAAACTGCTCCTTCTGCAATAAATTACTCCAGAAACATTGCTGCTGCCAGCCTCATTCTTGTGGTTTGTTTCAGTTTTTCCCTTCTGGCCCTGCAGATAGCTGAGAGGTAAGGCATGTGTAAGCTAATAGCAGAGGACTTGAGGGGGGGGGATGCTGTTCTCTTCTCAGTAGCAAAGTCAAGTTTTGCTGGTGGTTAAATGGGTGAATTTGGTGCTTTTTGAATAGGGAGATGCCAATAAAGTCATAACAGCTTCCTTGGCATCCATCCATCAGGATTTTGGATTGTTATATTGGTAAACCAATGTGTGTAAAAGCTTTACAAACTAAACAGCTCTGTAGCGGCCACATGTGGGAACAACAAGAAAGGATTTTAAGGCAAAGCTGCTGAGGGAAAAATGCCAATAATTGAAAAGGCATTTTCAGGCTTTCTGTTACAGCACCATAATTAAATGTCCTGGAGCAGTAAAATGCCAGCTGGAATCTCACTCTTCTCCATGTTGGAGTTATTGAGTTTGACTTCTGCTGTAGAAACTACTTTTTTGGTGAAAATTCACAAGGCCTTTTAGGGCATTTTAAGCACCAGAAGTAGAAATAAATCAACACATTCCTCCTAAATCTTATCCATTCGTGAGCAAATGTTAAAAGACTTAAAGCACAGATTCTTAGATACATTAAAGTGTAATCACAGGTGAAAAACTACAAGTAAAAACATGGCATCTCCTTAGGAAGTTGAGCCTCTTTGTGACTGAATTGCACTTATTAGCTCCTTTACTCAACTGGAGTATTTACATGCCTGGGCTCTAAAAAAGTGGCTGCGTCCAGGAGAGGGTGAAATGGAATGGATGCTGCCTTGGCAGCATTGACAAAATCACTGCTTAAGGTTAGTGCCAGAATTGTTATTTCTGATGGTGTCAGAAGCAGAAGGACCTCCGGTGGAGTTGGCAACAATGACACTTAGAAAAAGAATCTGTTAACCTATAAATAAAATTTGTATAGGGTGGAAAAACTGTGACTTAGTGGACATGGCCTCAACCCTATCATTTTAAAATTTAGGCCAACAGGAAAAATGCCTCCTTTTTGACTCTCTCTTGGCTTTTATGACTACCTTTCTTAAAAGTCTCGAGGTGAAAAATATACCTGTCAGCTCAATGGACAAGTAATTGTTGGATCTTTCAAATAGGCTTTGTGGTTCACTTTGCCTAGAGGTACAAATGCTCATGAAGTGTGTTAGCTGTTAGGAGAGGAGCTTCTCCCTAGGGAGACAGCAGGGAAGAATGCCTGTTCAGACCAGGTGCTTGTTTACCTCATCCTTTCAAAATACCTTTCTTCCCTGCAATCAGCATGCATAGGCAATGAGAAGGCCTGTGTACTCTTCTCTGAAAAAAATGCGTAAGAATCACATTTCCTCTTTTTTCCTCAGTGTTAGTAATTTTACTGGGTCTTTTTTTATCAGGCAAACCTGGATGCTCTTGGCCAACATCGCATCACTTTTCAGCCTTTTGGCTCAGATCAGGTGTAGCTCCTTAATCCAGCTATTCTGGATTCTTTGTGAGGGGAACTGTCCCCTGGTCTTAAAGTTGATAGGTTCATTGATCTAATGGAGGTTTCCTATCTTAAGCTACTGGTACTTGAATTCAGGAAAAGGGTCCTGGTGGTGACCAGCTTTGCCAGTGAATCAAACTGTTGTTCATTCAGGTCCCTTTAATGAAAAAGAGGGAGTGGTAAAGGTAGCTGAACCATAAAAGATATATAGGATGAACACACGTTCTTGATTCTCCTTCTGTCTCATAATACAAAGCAGTTTTGCAATTGAAGGTGACAAGGGAAAACATTTTTCTACAAGATGCTTAGTTAATATGTGGAACTTACTGCCACAAGGTTTCATTTTGAGTCGAGAGCTTAGCATGATCCAAAAATGCTATAGGTACATACATGAATAGTAAGTCAGAGAGAGAATTAAAGTAATAATGGAAATAATCCCATCTCTTCAATGGAGGTTATAAAGAACCTTTCTCAGAATGTATTGCATGGTTGTCCAGTAAGTTGTTTTTAACTTTTTCTGAAGCATCTGGCACTTGCCCTGTATGAGATGGGAGCAGGGGTCCCAGTGGATTGGATTGGGGATGGCAGTCCCCAGGCTTCTAAGAACTGAAGAACTTTGAAATCGGATTAGAAGAAAAAAATGGAAATGGGCACAACAAAGAAGTGCCGGTATCCAAGGAGATTTAAGTATCATTGGGTCTTCTTGAGGATAAGGACCAGCTGGAATTGGTTAAAAATAATTCCAATTGATGAACTGGAATTTTACTTTAAAAAGTGGAGTGGTCCAGGATTTACGAAGTGATTCAACTTCCATTTTTTAAAAAGCAAGGAGCATAAGAGTGAACCAGAGCAGGGCTTCACAATAGTGGGAAATCACCATTTTTTTCCTTCAGTTGTGAAATCAGATGACGGAATATTTGTACTCGTGCCCCAGAAGCACCATCTCAGCTGAAATGCTCGGAAGCATTGCAGCACACAGCAATTTGTGTGATTTTTGGAAAAAGATGCTATTCCATCAGCTTTTTGTGTTCAATATGAAGCTAGAAACATGCTCCATAGGCTTCACGGCCATCGTTTTGCACAGCAACTTTAGTATAACCCTGAAGCCAGCCGGCAGGAAGGGCTACAACAGGGGGGAGAGACATCCCTTTCCCAGCAGGATACAAAGCAACTAATTCCTAAAATAAGCTCAGGTTTAACCAGTCTGGCAAGAAATAATTCCAAACACAGAATCAACATTTTCCTCAGAAAATGTTGAGAACATCAAAACAAAGCTCAAACCCTCTCTCTGAAGTACAGACCTCCCACTGCTTGTGGCCACTCAAACAGCCTTATAGTCATAATAATGAGGCTGTAGCTGTTTATGGATCAGCAAAGACATTCTCAGCTTTTCACTGTTCAAAATGCGTAATTCCAAAAATGCCTCTCTTACTTCCAGAGCCTGTGTTTAGCAATGGAAATTAAAACCAACTTCGGAAATGATTCCCCATTTTATAATGGATTGGAGAAAATGGCATTTTTCACTGTTTGGCAGAAACTGCATACTGCTTCCCTGCCCCATGTGTTAGTCAATGCTGTTGTAGCTTTAATGAACAGCAGCTGATAAAGTCCTTGCTTGATGGACCAAGAGTTTGATCTTGGCTGGCAAATCCTAGATGCCTGTCTCTCTTCTTTCAGAAATTAATCCCAATAGCTTCTGTTCAGTGCCAAAGCACTCTGGAAATGTAAAACAAACCTGACAGTAAAAAAAAAAATGTTTGTAGGGAGAGGGAAAAAGGAGGAGGTCAGAAATGCCAAACTAGGGGCACTTGATACATGCAAAGGGCTTATTTGTTAGCATTTGGGAAGCTAAAATATTTTAATCTTATACTCATTTGTTTGCAGTGCACTGAGACATTTTGTAGTTTGTGTGAGTTCTTGATATATTTGCTTACTAATCATCATCTCTTTAAAACTGCTGATTAATTTTATATGTTCCATAACTTTTAAAAGAAAAATGCACCTTATTTGCTTGTTCTCTTGGTTTGAGAGCTCACAGAGTATGGAGCCTGCAGGGAATAAGCTGGGAAATGTGTTTGGAAGTAGTTTTGTCTGTTATTGTTTCCATTTTGACTCTACTGGCAATTCACTTGACAAAAAATGATCTTTATGAACCTAGTGACCTAGAAGGATGGATTGAAATAATGTATGCTTTTTTTCTGGCCTGCCGTAACTCTAATTTCCAATAATAAGAACTTTAATGTGCACAATTGAAAGACGCTTAGTTTTTCTTTTCTATTGTGAATCTATAATGTGGCAGGATGAAGGCTTGTTCATATCCTGATGAATGTTGCATTCTGATCACTTTAATATTCCTCCTATGTTTCATTTGGAAGCAGAATATTTTACTTCCTTGGGAGCATCCCAGTGAGATCACTTCCTGGTTTAAATTGAACCATCAGCTGTATTTGGTGCCAGAGGTGGCTGCACATCTCTGGTTAGTGACGGGCGTAATGATATACATCCCCTACCAACCTTGTATTGTTTATTTTAATCAATTACTGGTTAAATCTTCTGAAAGAAGGGATCCTTGCTATAAAAGTGGAAAGTATAATAATAGTTTATTTAATTTCAGTGGAGGTGATGGTATAAAAAGGTGTTACTTTATACTTTTTGCTACATGTCCACTACTATACCTGAAAATGAAATAAAAGGGGGAAAGGTTGCAGGGCTAGTGTTGGAACATGATACTGGGACTCCTGTTCCTGCCTCTGCCAGTCTTTGAACTTTTCTTAAGAGCTTGCTTTTTCCATACCTCTGCTTATTCATGTATAAAACACTGAATGATCTGTAACTCATAGAGGTGCCATGAAGCTTACGTGATTCCCAAAGGCCTTTGATATTCAGGTGAGATGAAGACGTACAAAATGGTCATAGTTTTGTGTGATTTGGATTGAAATTACTGGAAAAAATGGCAGGGTGCTCAGTTAGTGATATAGCTTGCTTCAAGAACATTACATCAGTGATTCATGATCTGAGTTGCCTCCCTGTGGGGTTCTGGGAGGAGGTTAAGAGGTTGTATTTGACATAAAAAGCCCTTGATAGCTCAAGACCTGACAAGCTGAGACCATCTCTCTCCCCAGGCCTCCTTTATAAATAATATAATGGAGTAGATAAATATTGTATAAATATCTTCTGAGGAAAAACTGTAGGCCTCTCACTTTCTCTTCCTTCCTGAACTGTCAATATGTTGTGGTGCAGCCCCAGCAGTGAGGAGGTTTAAAGAAATGTCTATTCTTCTCTGACAGGCCAAACGTTTGTACAGAGCAAGAGCTGGCAATAGTGGGGCACCGGCAGCCATGCGTGCAAGCCTTCACTCGGATGGTCAAAGTGTGGAAGCAGGGCTGTGCAGGACATCTGTGGTGCTTGGGCTATGAACGAAGGTAGGTGCTCCTTCCTCAAGCTTGATTCTAAGCTGTGTGGAATGAACATGAATTCTTTCTTCATAGTGAAAATGCAAATCAAGCTCATTTTGTTTAAGCCAGAGTATGAGTATGGGTGTATAAGAATGAGAGTGAGATGGACGTGCAGACCTGCACAGCTAGATCAAAATACTGACTTCAAGTTCATGGAGTCCTGGAGTGGAGGAGCGTGACAAGATCAGTGCCCAGGGGTGGCTGTGATGCCCCCTGGTGACCACTCAACCCCTGCCCCAACTCCAGCTTTCCAGGGTACCCTCCCTTTCTGCCTCACTTGCCATGCCTTGATGTTATTTATGAGAATTTGGGAGGCTGCTCCTGGGGCCCCAGAATGAGCTCAGTCTAGCTCAGGGGTGGGCAAAATGCTGCCTACGGGCCAGATTCGGCCCACCAGCTGATTGGATCTGACCTGCAGCTGCCCCTGCAGTGCTCCACATGGGGCTGAGCCCCGCCTGCTCCCACCTAGGCAGCCCACGTTGTGCTTCCGCCAACTGCAGCCAGCGCACTGCTTCTGGCAGGGCTATTCCCAGTGCAGCTGCAGCCAGCTGGATGTTTCTGTGCTCCCTTCACCTCCAGTGGGAGCTGCTGGGCTGAACCCTGCCTGCCTGGAGCAGCACAGCAGGGGCAGGAATAGGAGGAGGAGCGGCCACTGGAAGCGAGGGGAGCACAGCAGCATTTGATCAGCTGCAGTTGCACTGGGAACAGCCCCATTGGAAGCTGCGTGCTGACTGGGGCCTGGGCCAGTGGGGCTGTTCTGCTCCCCTCACCTTCAGATGCAGCTCCTGCTATGCTGCATCATGCCACTCTGGGTGTGGGGAGGCTTCAGTGAGAGGCACCTGCCCAGTGCATGGAGATCCAGCTCCAGCTTGTGGTCACCTTCCACCTGCTCTGCCTGGCCACCCGCAAGGGCTGCTCATTGCACTGGGCAGGCAGAGCAGGTGGAAGGTGGCAGGAGCTAGAGCTGGGGCTCCATGCACTAGGCAGGAGCCTCCCACTGAAGCTTCCCCCTGCCCACCCAGAGCGGTGTGGCAGGGGCAGCAGCAGTGGTAGCAGCAGCAGCTGGAGGTGAGGGAAGCAGAACAGCCCCGCTGGCCCCAGGCAGCATGCAGTTTCTGGTGTGGCTGCAGCCAGCTGGGTGCTGCTCTGCTCTCCTCACCTTCCAGTGACAATGTGAGCTGGCTAGCTGCAGCCACACTAGGAACAGCCCTGCTAGAAGTCAAGTGTTAACCAGGGCTCAAGCCCGGGCTGGTGGGTGTGCATGGGAGCACTGCATTGGCTGGGGGGTAGGGGGGGCACGGAAAGCACTGCAGGGACAGCTGCTGACTGGGCAAGCTCTGCTGCACAACCCCCTCCCTCCCCTCACCCCTGGCTGGCTTCCAGGCAGCCCCCTCTCACATGCACACATGCCCCCTCTATACACCCCTTGCTACCCCTCCCTCCTTTCACCTGATATAGATTGTTAAACATTACATTCCCTTCAGGGTATTCAGTTTCCACTGACATTAAATCTACAACATATTGAAACTACAGTCACATTTGAAATGTTTAAAAAAAATTATGTTGTAACATGCTTCTTTTGCTAGTGGACTTATTATTATACTCTTGTATAATAAAGCAGTAATACAATAGTGTTTTAAAATATTTACACTTTTAAGTGGGAGAGGCATAAAGGTAATTATTTATGGCTATAAAAATATAGATCAGACTGGGTGTACTCCTGTTCTCACTGAAGACATGAATTTTGATACTGATGTCAATAGGGATAGGACATGGCCAATTTAATTTTGATACTACCCTCTTTCAAAGCAGTGAAAAATGAACTATGCACCAAGAAGCTACACAACTAGGTTTAAATTAATGTGTTGTAAGAGTAATAACTGCCCTAAACAAAGAACTGCAAATTAGTATGTGTCTGTGTATTTTATAAACTATTTTGTCAATGAAAAGGAGAGCTTTGGGAATTTCAATTATCTTAAATGAAATTAGTTCTCAAGAAGGCATAGGTAGACCAATCAAACAGATGTAATAATAAGTGAGTCAAATATTAGGTCTTGATTTGGCTTGCCACCTTGCCATAAAGGTCATTGTTTTTATTCATTTTAAAAATCAGTAAAATGTGGGTTTTGAACATTTTGAAACATGTTCATAGATTGATCCCAAGTCTTAATATTTCTGTCTTTTGTTGAACCCACTGCTTTCTTCTCAAAATGTACTTCCATCTAAGTGAGGTATTAGTTGCAGACTTCTGTACTGCCAGCACAGTTTCCCCAGCGCCTGCTGCTGCCACTGGGGCATGCAGTGTGGAGGAGGGTGGGGACTCCCACACCCACCCAGCCTCACACCCCACAAGTGTCACACACCCACACCCTGTCTCCACAACTCCCCATATATACACACTCCAACATATCCTATTGCCCCCACTCCCCCCACACTCCACAACCCCAACCACGCCCCACACACAGTGTACAAGAGTAAGACTTCATTTTTGAGTTATTATGCAATCACCTCTATATGCAAGAGGCAAACAAACCATGACAAATATATTTTTTGTAATAAAATAAAAATGTGTTATACTAGGTGTTTGCCTTTTAGTGTATGAATTGTTTTTTCTGGTTCTAAGATGGCAACCCCCTCTCCTGAAAAGAGTATTTCCAGGGGGCAAAGGGGGAGAGTTCTGGTGGCAAAGGTCAGGGGATAGGCACAGAATTTCTGGTCCCAAGATGACAACCAGGGGGCAGGGCACCTGTCAAGGGGCAGGGCTATCCTTGTGGCTCTTGATAGCTCACCAAAACTTATTAAGCGGCCCACCAGCTGAAATAATTGCCTGCGCCTAGTCTAGCTCAACCTTTTCCCTGAGAGACTGCTGTGGCCCTTCTGGCCTATTAGTTCCTCTGGATACCAGTTGCCATATGGGCTGTTTGTGACTTCCTTCCACTCCTTCAGCCAGACCCAAGCTTTGCAGTTGTCACTTTAAGTAGTCCAGGATTATAAAAGAATGGCTAGGGAAGGAGGTAGTATAAGTAGTGTACCTGATGGTTACAGAGGGGACTTCTTTTTCAGTTCACAAGAGGGAGTGGACAATAAGAAATATATAAGCAGTACACTAGTGGTCATAATTAATACGTCTAACATGAGGTGGGGTTTACATGAGTCTCTTCTCAGCTAGGCTGGTTGACCTGCTCCACCAGGCTTTAAACTAAGCCCGCCAGGAGATGGGGGGACTACTACCGCTGCTGACCCACTGACTGACCCTTGCAAAGCCAGCAGGTCAAGGCACATAAGGGATCCCAGCCCAGCCCCAGCCCTGGAACAAAATGTAAGCAAGGCAAGAGCCCCTAAGGGGACACTTGCGTGTCTATACACAAATGCCAGGAGCCTGGAGAATAAACAGGAAGAACTTGTTCTCCTCCTAAATGCAAATAACTACGATGTCATTGGGATAACAGAGACCTGGTGGGACTCCTTCCTTGACTGGACCACGGATATAGACGGCTATACCCTGTACAGGAGGGATCGAGCGGACAAAAGGGGCAGGGGCGTAGCTCTCTATGTCAAGGAAAGCTACGCGCCCCTGCAAGCTGACATTGGCACCCATGGTGGATGACTTGAGACCCTCTGGGTTAAAATCTGTGGGGAACATGACGCAAGGGATACTGTGGTGGAGGTCTACTACAGATCCCCTACCCAGAGTCAAGACCTCAACCAGGAGTTCACCAGGGAACTGGCTGAGGCTGCACAATCCCGGTGTATGGTTGTCATGGGAGACTTTAACTACCCAGATATCTCATGGGAGGAGTGCTCGGCCAAATTGAGCGGTTGCAAAACTTTCTCTCGTGTGGACAACCTCTATCTGACGTAGGAAGTCTATGGGCTGACAAGAAGGTAAAGCACTGCTCGACCTCGTACTGGCAACCAGGGATGACCTAATTGGCAGCCTAACAATCGAAGGGAAGCTGGGTGACAGTGATCATGAACTGATCACCTTCACCATCTGCCGTAAAGCTGGCAAGTCAGTCAGTTGTACAGAAGTCCCTGACTTCAGGAAAGCTGACTTTGACAAGCTAAGGAGGCTTGTCAGAGAGGCCCTAAAAGGCCACAACCCAATGGAAAAGGGAGTTCAGGATGCATGGATGCTCCTCAAGGGAGCAATCCTGGATGCACAAGCAAAGTGCATCCCATCTCAGAGGAAAGGCAGCAAAAGGGCACAGCAGCCCCCTTGGCTCTCCAAGGAACTGGTGGACCTCCTGCATCTTGAAAGCAGGACCTATAAAGGATGGAGGACTGGAACCGCCACCAATGAAGAATACTGTGTATTAGTCTGGATATCAAGGAAAATAAAAAGTCCTTTTTTAGATATGTGGGGAGCCAGAGGAAAATCAAGGGCAACATTGGACCCCTGCTAAACCAGATGGGGCAACTGACAACTGATGTCCAGGAAAAAGCTAAATGGGTACTTGCTAAATGGGTACTTTGTGTCAGTTTTCCATCAGCCGCATGGGGCGGCCTTGCCCACTATGGGTCAGGGAGGCCCGGGTGAGGGAGATTTCTTGCCCTCCATCGAAGCTGACCTCATGAAGGAACGCCTCGACAGGCTGTATACCTTCAAGTCAGCTGGCCCTGATGGGTTACAACCAAGGGTACTCAGGGAGCTGGCCAACATCATAGCTCAGCTCCTGGCATGGATCTTTGAGAGTTCTTGGCGTTTGGTGAAGTGCCTGATGATTGGAAGAGGGCCAATGTGATGCCTATCTTTAAGAAAGGGAGGAAAGTAGATCCGGCTAACTACAGGCCCATCAGCCTGACCTCTATCCTGGGTAAGTCTTGGAAAAGATCATCAAGGAGGCCATCCTAAACAAGCTAGCTGAAGGCAATATTCTGAAGGATACCCAGCATGGGTTTGTTGTGGGTAGGTCTTGCTTGACCAATCTCATTTCCTTTTATGACCTGGTGACCTATCACTTGGA